TTTCCCAAGCATCATATTTCTGAAATCCCTGCAGTAGCTCGAGGTATGCACAAGGTGTCACCTGATCAATGTTCAGCCTCTGATAGAACATTTATTTATCCGGTAGAGACCGTGCTTGTCCCCGTCATGCAAACTTCTTTTGCTAGATCTTCTTTGAAAAGGTATGCTTTTTTTTCCTGATAATTATTGGTTTAATTAAAATCTTAACTTTTGAAGAGCGGTTTGGTCTTTGCCTCAATGGCATGTAAAGTAGATCTCATCTGGTGGATCCAGTTGGACTGGCCTAGTAATGTGATGTCATAATCATTTTTCTAGGCAATAATCAATTAGAGAGGCATCTAGCAAGCCTTGAATTTGAATTTGACGAAATTTGTTAGTAACCAATCTGTCGGACATGGATACTATTTGACACATTGTTGATATGTGAACTGTTTGATTTTTTTTATTTTTTTTATTTTTGGGAATTTTGGACACATGTTGGGCATTCTGGGGATAAAATTAGGATCACCAGAATTTTTTTTTGGGACAATTTGAGTCAATTAGAGTTATAAGGAGTCTTTGCATTTTAATAGAAAACCAAAAAAGAAAATAGGGAAAAACTTTGTGGCTTTCTATCCTCCTTATTTTCTTTGTGGCTTTCTAGCTTGCAGTGGTTGTTAACATCGCACACACATATGCCAAATTTCTTTTTCCTTCTCGGATAACTTTTTCCATCAATTTTGATTTTCTGACTTTGTTATGGTGATCTTGCTATAATGTTGTGAAGCTGAGTAATATTTGAAGCTTCTGATGATAGATTGACATCGTACTGATTTGATTTTGGAGTTTTGGATATATGATTTAATCTAGATATCATTAGTCTTCTCCTCTCTAATTATGTGTGTGTGTCTTGTCTACTTTCATGCCCTATTTTTTTGAGGAACTTAGTGTCGATGTGTCGTATCTGTGGGTTGTGTCTGTTTCTATATTTCTTAGTTAAGAACTTTGAAATTTACGAATACTGAAGCTACAGATAGTGGCATCATATTATGCATTATACTTTGACAATTCCTTTGAACCCCTGCCTCCCCTTCTTCAATTGGGTCAACATGGCCAATCAGGGTAAGAACAGAGGCTGAGGAAATTTGATGCCTTTTTGCTATTGCTGCTCCACTGTGAGAAAATACGTAGATATATTAATGTGTGTGTGTGTAGTCGAGTAAAGACTACATGAGTGAATGCAACCGAAGCACTAGGTTTAAGAAAGAGGTTGGATTCGAAGTCTGTGCAAGTATCAATGATTCCCTTACCGAGAAGTTGAGACCAAACCTTGAAAGGGTGTGGGAATACTTTTTCTCTTTGGAGGACGCAAGAATTCATTAAATGTCGTTAGGGTTCAAAATAGATTCTACAATATTGAACGTAGTTCAAAAACATTGGTTTTTTGTTAATAAACTAACACCATTTTTCTCAACCTGCAGATTCTGGCTACAAAATTGGTTGGGGCCATCATTATCTGGGTCATCCTTCTTTATGCATGGGCAAGTTCACTTATTTAATGTTTGCAATCATTGTTTATTGGATTTTCCTTTTCCTCTGTGAATTTGGTTTTTTTTTTCTTTCTTTCTGAATTTCCCTATGGTTAGTCCCTGAAATGTCATGCTTTCCCCTTGTTGTAGTTTCGGTCTCGGCGGTGATGGCAAAGTAGATTCTGCAGATGTATCTTGGCTTGACCACACTGGCATTCACTCTCAGCGTGGTTATCACAGCAGTAGCAATAGTAATAGTAGTAGTATCAGCACCATAGGTAGTACCTCTAGCGATAGCGATTACAAGACCTCAGGAGGGGGTGACCTTGAGGCGGATGCTGATTCTTTAACATGCAGACAGTCTGGTTTATCTTCTACTGATCAGTGTCGTAATGATGGTCTCAAAACGGTATTGCACTTTTCTACAAACAGAAAGGACCTTCAGTAAATAATGAAAGTACAAGTGTCCATGTTAATGCATGTGCATGCTATGAAATATCCATATGCATGATATATGTCTGCATTTTTTCTATGAAGAATTTTTTTTTTGTGGGTTTAAGTTGTGATTATATTGCAGTTGATCGCATGAGCTGTTTAATGTTGTGTGATCTCAGTCCACGCCTGTTATTGCTTACTCAGTGCTCACGCCTGGTGCCTTTTGGTATTGATATTTGTATTATTAAAGACTATTTAGTCTTCATCCTGCACCTCTTTGTTAGATTATCAAAAAAATTAAAGGCTGTTTAGGGTTGCCGGTCTATTCTCTTTAATGATATGCAAGCCACCTGATTCTGTGATTTTCTGTACATTTGAGACTGGAAAGTGGGCTTTGGATTTGGGTTGGGAAAATGGTGGCATGGTGAATCCAGATTGGGAGATCTAAGAAAATGTTGGAAGTGTGCGGGATTCTTCTTGGTTAGATTAGTATTGATGTTTTTTGCGGCTTATCTGGGAAAAAACATAAACAAAGAAAGAAAAATAGTGTTGATGTTGGTTGTGACGGTAATCCTCAGGGGAGGATGAAGGTTTTTTTTACATATTTTTGTGCGGCAACAATTCAGTTGAAGTTTATGTATTATTTTTTTCTGCAACACTTGAATTTTTATGGTGGGTGATGCAAAAGAATATATAATGTCTGCTTGTTTTGGGAAAATGTTCTGTTAATTGTTTGATGCTGAAGGAAAGGGAGGTATGTAATATTGGCATATATATATATATATATATATATATATATATATATATATCTTCGATTTTTCTGTATTATTAAATTCGAGGTCACGTTTTAGTTATAGCGCTGGTTACTCTGTCGAATTGACTTTTTTTCAAACTTCGAAATACTGTTTTTTTTGCGATTTTAGTGAAGGATTGTGCCTCTTTAAGTACTTATGTAACATCTTACCTAAACTTTTTGCTAGTTGTTTAGTGCATAATCACTATTATTCAATAAACTGGCGAGTCTTCTATATGTTTTTCTCTGTTCTCATACTCTAGTTGTATGCTGCAATGTGATGAATGACCTGCATTTTAAAGGGGGAATATTTCATTTGTTGATTGGAGTTGTTCGCTATGGCACTCTTACATGGATTTGGAAACCTACTTTCTGGATTAGATGTTTTCCTTAATGTTCTAATACCAGCATTTTATGCCTTAAAGATATATTGTTCATAAGATAAGAACAGGAACAATTTCCAGTGATGCCAGAAGGTTAATAACTTGTGACTATTGGCAGAATTGTGACTAATGGATGATGCAAATCAATGTTATATTTCTACATGTCTTTCAGAGTCCATCATGTTATTCGGTTTTTAGTTCTCTTTTATTTGTGGTACATCTATGGGGTCAGAGGATGAGTTGCTCACTATCTATGCAGGGTTCTAAGCGACCTCGAGAATCATTTGGTCAAGCGGGTGCAGTTATAAATCCACCTATGCAAGATGCATATGGGCCCATCAAAGTTAATACTTCAGCCATTACAGCAGTTGCAAATGAGCAGATTGCATCTCATTGGGATTGGGATGACGACGACAAAGGTGTGGTTATAGATATCCAAGCTCTTCTGTCAGAGTTTGGAGATTTTGGTGACTTCTTTGAGAATGATTCTTTGCCTTTTGGGGAGGTAATCTCTTGTCCTAGAGGAATGAAATGATGACATCTTATGTTTTCCCCATTTACATATAAGATATATGTTGAGGAGCCCCATTTTGGTGGATCGTTCCCGAAGTTTTCCAACCAGATTTATGGTTTATTTCTACTTAATAAGTAGTTCAATTCTAAGAGCATGCCATATCGTTTATCAGTGGTGAACTGCATACTCGCTACATTTGGCTTTCTTCTTCCATTTAAGACCAAAAAAATCGCAGTAGAGGGTGGTCCTTCAATTTATTATTTTGAGGAAACCTTTTCATTCTTTGAACTTTAAAATTTGAGTTTCTTTTAATCGCCTTAGTGGCAGTCAATGCGTGGTTTTAATCTCCTTTGTGGCACTCAATGCTTGGTTTTAATTTTGGTCCTCAGCATTTCCCTCTAAATCTATTACCATTTTGTTCTTTAGAGATTGCTGCATGCATAAATTTCTAATAACTTTTATCTTGGTGACCATGCTCTTTTCCTTCAACGAATGGCATGAATGAGCATATTTTAAACTTAGAACTGAATTTTTCTCATCATTTGGAAGCCCCCAGGAACTGCAGAGTCACAGGCTCTTATGTTTTCGGCACCAGAATGTGGAGATGTAGGTAGCAGCCCCTCTACTATGATTATAGATGTGTCAGATCAAATGCTTTTGCCAGTAGGGTTTCCATCCTTCGAGAGCTTTAATTTACCCCCTCCTCCAGCAGCCATGGAGGAGCCACTGAGCAAAAACCAAGAAGTCACGAAGAATGCTGTAACTTCTGGTCCAGTTAACTACACTCCACCGTCATGTATTGGTGAGTTTGATCATTTGGTGAAAGCTGAAGCACTGATGACATTTGCACCAGAATATGGTGCGGTTGAAGCTCCTACAAGTGAGTTCTCCCCATCCATATTCAGAAGCCCATATGTTCCAAAGTCCCGGAAAGCGGAAACTGTAATTTCAAGCTCAAACAATTATGTATATTCTGCAACACCACCTTTGTCTCCTTGCCTCAGTGGATCAGATGAGAAGCCTGGCACGGCTGTACAGGATGCAAGTGCCATTTCCCACTCAAGGAAATATTACACTCATGTTGAAAGTGGAAAGGAGCATCATGATGGAAGATTATCTACTTGTAACAATGGCATTGCAACTCGTGATGGTGTGACTCCATCTGCGTTCTCTGGTTTTAATTCTTCAAATGCTGTCAATTCAGTCCACAGAAAAACAAATGAAGGCGCAGTAGGATCAGATAATCTCCTTACATCTATGAAAACTGTGCTTGCAACTGAACTTGAATGCATCAAGTTCCAGGCTTTTATGTGCAGGATCCGACATACACTGTTTTCTTCCTGCAACCCCCTACCTGTTGGCTTGAGTAAGTTTTCTGGAAGCACTGTTCTGAATCAGCTGCATGGTGACCCAAGCATCGTGACAGACAATGTTTCTAGTAAATTTGATGTGAAGAAGAAAGAATCCATTCCTATTAGAATAGCTGGTGACATTGATGGAGGAATGCTAGATGGCCCCCTGAATGCACCTGTTGGTGTCTGGCGCTCTGTTGGAGTTCCTAAAGCTGGAAAACCTAACACACCTAGTATGGAAGTTTGCCCATCTTTGCCTCATAATTCATTCAACGAGGAGGCTATGCTCTCTTATAGACACAAGCAACCGCTTCAGGAACTTCTTCATGGCTTGGCATTACTTGTCCAACAGGCTACTTCATTTGTTGATGTGGCACTGGATGCTGATTGTGGTGATGGTCCTTATGGTTGGCTTGCATTACAAGAACAGTGGAGGCGTCAATTTTCCTGTGGACCCTCTATGGTCCATGCAGGTTGTGGGGGAGTTTTGGCTTCTGGTCATTCCCTAGATATTGCTGGTGTGGAGCTAGTGGATCCACTTTCAGCTGATGTAAGCTTCTTTCATTTTTCTATGGAATGATTCTTCTTCTCTTTACTTTTGACCTAATGAGCAAGGGAAAGTAACATTGTTTATTTTTCCTCGGAGCCATGTCATCCTGCATCTCTCTTTCTATCAGAAGAATTACTAACTCGTTATACTAAGTGTCTAGTACCACCATGATATTCCTGTGTTGTAATTCTCTGGAACAGTGATCACTCACCTTTTTTTTTTTAATCTTTTCCCTAGAAGTTCAAGTTAGAAAGATTTGATAATTTGAGATTAAGTGATCGTAGTAACATGGAAAAGTTAGTCATGTTATGGCTGCATAGGGCATTATTCACCATGGTGGAGCCACATACATGCCTGGGGGTAGGAGGATGGCCTTCTCTTAGATTTCAAAATTGCTAATTAGGCCCTCTAAATTTACTGGATTGTTGCCAGATATTGAAAGAAATTACGGTACTGCCATTATTAGTATAATGAATAATGAAAACAATAGGAGAAAAAATTCTTAACATTTGCCACTCGAGCTGGAGCAACACGATGAGAAATGTGCATCATGAAACAAAGCCTATTGAAGGTGGACCAAGCCAAAGACTTGGTAAGAATATCAACTGGTTAATCGCCAGACTTGACATATGGAGTTATAATCTACTTTAACACTAGGAGATACTAAATTAATTTTGATGTGTTTGGTGCACTCTTAGGGTATTTGGGTGTCACAATGCAGCTGCAGAGAGATATCATAGTACATTTTTTTTTTTGATAGGAAACGAAAATGTTGTATTAATGAAGATTGAAAAGTACATCAAAAATGGTTGCATAAGAAATCAACCAAGAAGTTGAGAAAAACAAAAAGAAAAACTACATAAAAGGACTATAAATTACATGAAGCTCTCCATCTCACTAGAATTGCAAAGAGCGGAGATAGCACATCAGTGCCCATATTACGAAGTAGAGAATGAATCCATAACATTTTACATACGGAATGAGCCTTGACACGATGTTAAACCTCTACACAAGAATGAGCCACCACATTTTTTATTGCACCAAGTAACAAGATTGTCACGAACATACACAATGAGAATAATGACACATGTGGAGAACTGATGTGATTATAGAATGGTCTGAAGTAGAGCGTTGAAAGCCATATTATAGCACAACACTATTGAATTTATCAAACAATGCCCAATTGATGATTTCTTTAAACGATATACTAATTGTTCTCTCCCAGGAGTAATATGAGCTAGTTACTGAATCGTATATGCTTTCTCCTATATATCCTCGTGTAGAAAAACAGTCCTTATATCCAAATTGATATATAGACCAATCAAAACTCTTGCATAGAAAGCAGAACTTTAACACAGTGAAGACGGGCAACGAAAGAAAATGTGAGACAATAATCCACACAATGTATTCGACATAGTCTCTGGCAACCAGCTGTGCCTTTAAATGTTCAATGGAGCTTTCTGGATAATATTTCACAGTGTAGACCCAATGAAAACTAAAAAGTTGCCTACTAGAAGGAAGATGAGTGATATCACGTGTCTAATTCTCACGAAAAGCATTCATTTCTTCATCCATTATCAGTTTTCATCCAAGAGATGACAAGGCTTGTTGGAAGGAACATGGAACAAACATGGAAAACAATAATGGTCCAAAACAACAAATAAGTGTGAAGAGTCTATGAAAGGAGACAACCTTAGCAATAAAATGTTTTGTACAGCTATAAGTATCTTTCTGTCATGCAATGCGCAAATCAAGTGGAGAAGAAATTGCATATCAACTTTGTAACTAGGATCTCAGTAGAATCAATCTTTGGTAGAGAAACTGGAGCATATGGAATCACTTATTCTTCCTTGGAGATGCGGTAAACCGGGAGTGGAGGAGTAGACAATGGAGGGGAAGGATCCACATGATCCGCTAGGCAATGAGCTTGAACCGACTAAAAGATGCTAAACCAAGAGTAAAAGGATGTCTCGACTACAAAAGAAGGAAGATGATTCGGAGAAGATAACATCAATCTAAATATAATATCGATGAGAGACATGATTATTAGATTTGTAACATTACTGAGTACAATAATATTTCTATGAAAACACACTTGCCTGAGCAATTCTTCACTGCACGAACCAAGAAGATTGTCAAAGACAATACACGCAAAGCTATGTAGAGTTAAATGGAATGGTGATACATCCGGATAAATTTAAGAGAACGGAGACTTGTTGAGTGAAATGGAGGATGACGTACCGTTATTAAAGCAAACATACACATGAATGATGTTTTCATTTTATGATATCATTTTGGTGGATGTATGTGGACATGTAGTTTGATGGATAATACTGCAAACAACATTAAAAACATTCACTTACGATGGAGTATACTCACGAGCAATGTTAGGATGCAATATTTTAATATGTTTGTCAAACTAAACTAGACTTCCATTTTAAAAAGTAAAAACAGTTTCTAGATATTTCACACCAATCTTTCATGAGAAGCAATTAATTCATACGAAAGAAGTCATCAACAAAAACACCAAATTGCCAAAAGGTTGAAATGCTTTTTACTTTGTCAGGACCCCAAATGTCTAGATGAACAATAGTAAAAGGATTGGACTGATGACTCTTAGAATTATGAGAAAAAGAATTATGGTGATGCTTGCTAGTAATGAGTCTCCCATTCTAACGAAAAAAGACTTAAACTAGGAATAACTGACGTAATTTATACAACGAAGGATGACTGAACGAAAAATAGTACCGATAAGAGATATGGTAGCTCTCGAAGTTGGAATGGAACCTCCGTGATCCAAGTAATAAAGACTACCATTATAGTCATTTCTCAAACCAATTGCGTTCTTCGTCTTGTGGTCCCAAAAAATAAAATAAGATTATGAACAATATAAATACTTAGTTAAATGACTTGAAAATAACCACTTAAAAGGAAAATGATGAATTAATAAACCAGAGGTTAAGTGCATGAAATCTGGAGAACAGAGATCCCCATTACGTGAATTAGAAGAACAAAAATAAATGAGTAGGCAGGGAATACAAGATATATGAACACTAACTCCTGGATTAATGCTCCAAGAGGGTGAACAAAATTTGAAAGATACAGTTACAGATAAACTGTGTTGGTCATAGTGGCTGTAGAAGAAGACAAAATGTAGAGAAAGTAAAGACAATAAGTAGATTATCTGCTTTAGCTAAGAAGTATGGTCATCATGATAACTATAAATATATGTAACAAGACTATCAATAAATGCTTGTGTCACAGTAGAGGCCGAAGTGTCATCAGAAGCCTGGTTAGCATATGTCAGTCTCCCATACTTACCTCGACAATAGTCCTTAATATGTGGTCACTAGAATATGTGTATTTCCTCCCGTGAACATAAAGAAGTCCCATTATTAAGAGAAGCATGATGAAAAAGCATTAGAGTAGTAGAAAGTGTCTCACTAGCCAAATCCTAGTATTTGAATACATTGTACTTTGCATGAAGGTTCAGCAACAACAAAACAACTTGGAACTCTACATGTTGACGTCATTGTATCTATAATTTAGTATTCATACCTTGGTGGCCGACAAATCATAAGGTCTTCTCAAAAGGTTTTCAAATCCCTTAATGTTCAGCTAGAGATTTATCAACTTGTTTGGCTTTACACATACGTTTCCAAAGCTCATAGATTCAAGACACATTATGTTTACATCTCCGTAAGACAATCCATATTTTTTTGGTCACTTCACGAAGGTGAACATCAGAGGCATTGGAGGTTCCATGGTAACCCACATGCAAGTTATTACTATTGAATTCTCCCATCTTTGGATAGGACCCAACTAGTTTTGAATTTGGTCAGGAATTCACTTGAAAGGTAATGAGGAATTCTGAGCAAAAAAGTGCTCTCTTAACTGAATTTGAAAGTCAATTTCCATTAAACAGTTGCTCCTCTAACTTTATTCTCGACTTGTATTATATATTCAAAAAGGTTCGCTGTCAACCATTCCACACGTTGCCTAGCTGGAACTCATTTTTTAAGTTGGCTGAAAAGCTCTTACTAGATATGGGTAATAGCAAAGAATAAAAATTTCGTTTCGGTACCTTGTTTCGGTCATCAAGGAAACAGAAACGATTCGACGTGTTTCGAAAACGTTTCGGCCTATTTCGAAAACAAAATGAAAAAAAAATTTAAGAATTTATTTTTCAAAATATTGATCGAAATATATTAAAATATTTTGAAATACCTTGAAACATTCCGAAATAATTGTGCAAATGTATTGCAATATAACAAAACATTTCAAAACATTATGGAACACTTTGAAGTATTAAATTTTTGATTCTATCACGGATTTATCTCGGTCTCTTTAGAAACGAAAACATTTCAGACGTTTCAACCGTTTCAAAACGATATTTTAATCCTTGGTAGTAACATATTGTACTAGCTCCTATACCTTAATTATGGATTAACTAGGAGGACTAGCGGAGATGCATTAGCCAAAATCATGGTTCAAAGTATCGGCCAATACCAATACGAGTCGACTGAGTCGTATCCGACTCAACACTTGTCGAGACGATACGTATAAACCTCGAGTCTCGCACGACTCGATCGAGTCGTTCAAGTTGTATTAGAGTCGGTCCCGGGTCGTCGAAATATCGTCGCCGAATTGGCCAAAATTTTTCGTCATGTTCAATATTTTTTTTAGGTCATATTGTCCGATACGGTGCCGCAACGCTGCAACCGATGTGTTTCAGAGCTATCCGAATTGATGGCTAATAACGTAACCTTGAACCATGCCCAAGGTAGTAGTTGTTCTAGCATTATACACGACAAGGTCCTCTTCCAGACTTGAAAGTACTACTCTAGACACGAATCGGTCACTCCAAAGTTGTAGGACTTAGTCGCACCTCTTAGAGGTGGATCAAAGCATTGAAACTAGTAAGATTCGGCCAAACAAATTGATCCAAAGATTGACTCCTATTTTCCAGGAAAGATTCAAAAATAAAAAAAAAAATTCAGATGTCTTTAAAAAGTTTTCAAAAAATTATAATAAAAGCTAGCATGATGACTATTCTAGGCCTGAGTTCTGGTTGCCAAATATTGTTGACTTCATAATGGTGGATGACATGGTTTAAAGTATCGGCCGATACCGGTACGAGTTGGCCGAGTCGTATCTGACTGGGCACCTTCTGAAACGATACTGGTACACGGTACGTATAAACCCTAAGTCTTGCGCGACTCGGCTGAGTTGTATTCGAGTCAATCTCGAGTTGCTGAGTTCAAGGATCAAAATGTCGTGTCGACACGTCTGAAACGTCCGAAACGTTTCGGAATTTCAACACTCCGAAACGAAACAGTAGTTGAATCACAAAATTCCAGTGTTTCGGTCGAAACGGTACTGTTTCGGACCGTTTCGGTCGAAACGGCATTGTTTCGAACCGTTTCGACAAAACAGTGATATATTCGGTTCATTATGAATAATTACATTTAATACCCCATTATAATTACATTTAATACCCATTGTAATTACATTTAATACTCACTATAATTATATTTAATATTCCACTATAATTACATTTAATTCCCACTGCTCTTCTGTCTTTTATAATTTTTTTGTTATAAGAATAAATAATTACACTTAATACCCTACTATAATTATATTTAATACCCATTATAATTATATTTAATACATACTGTAATTATATTTAATACCTCACTGCTGTGCAAGTTTTTTGCTTTTTTTTTTGTTATAAGTATTAACAATTACATTTAATACCCTAATGTAATTATATTTAATACCTACTGTAATTATATTTAATACCCACTGCAATTACATTTAATTTTTAAGTATACATAAGTATCATTAATTTAATTTGATACCCTTCATTATTAGTATTATAATAAAATAGTATTATTAATTGGATTATATTATCGTAATAATATGATTTGGAGTAACTATTGTCATCATATTTATGTCACATATGGAGTTTCTCTAAGTAGCTACCCAGAGCCTACACCGATGTATGAGCCTGCTCGACACTCCACAGGGGAATGGATGTAACCATGTAAGTATGTACTCATTAGCATTTCATGTGTATTATAAGACCTTAATATTATGTAAAAATGTGTTTATTTCATAAAAATTAAGTGTTTGAAACTAATTTAAGTGACTTTCACCTCAAGTCAAGCCTTTTTTTCCCTCAAATTTAAATTTATTCTTGTATAAATTGATGTTAACCTAATAAATATGTTGAATTAATAAATTATTTAGCATATCTTTATAAATTAATGGATTGCATTTGTGTTTCTATGCGTTTCCATATTTTTTCTGCGTTTCCATTGCGTTTCCGAAATGTTTCCGAAACGTTTCTATTTTTGAGTTGACCGAAACGGTACTTCGAAACGAAATTTTGATCCTTGACTGAGTTATTATCATCGAATAAGCCGATACGATTCCGTGGCGTCGTGGTATGATTTAAATCTCTCGTCATGTTAAACATTTTCTTGGAGGTCGTATCACCCAATACCACGTCATGATGCCACGACCGATGTGTCTCAGAGCTCTCCGAATCGATGACCGATAGTACTACCTTGAACCATAGTGGATGGTGATGGCAACAGGTGAACAATAGTTTCTCTTCTAAGTCTATTGTCGTATTTTTTTTGATTTTTTTTTTGATGGGTTCTTGTTTGGATTGATGCCATACCAAGTTGAAGTGCAGAGTAATGAATATTAGGGTTTGAGAAAGAAAAGAAGGAGATGAAGAAAGAAAGAATTGTGTGAATAATGCCTTGTGTGTAGTACCTTTGCCCTAGACCCTGTCATGTAATTTAAATTAGAAAGATACAGGAATTGGGATGCAATTCCAATATTATAAAATAGTGTCTGATGAAACAATGAGAACAAGGACTCTAAGAGGCTTCAATCGCCTTGCGCAGTGGTAATTTGAAACCAAACTACAATGTTAGTTATAGATAACTTCAAAATATTTGCCCAAATAAAAAAATAAAAACTTAAAAATTTTAGTTCGATGTGAGATACCTCTTATCATTGATTGTAAGTATACCAAATTTTTGGTGCATGGAGCTTTGTGAAATTGCACTTTAAGTAGTAATGTTTAAATGTTGCTCTGGAATCGATTGGTTTCAGTTTCCTTGCTAATTGAGACTTGAGATGCCAATGTGTACTTTTCAGTTCTTTTCTATGGCACCTGTATTTTTTCCTAGCCTCTTTTTTTATGTGATGTATTTGATGACGGTGATAAAATGTTCTCTTTATTTTTCACCTGGCAATTCATGAACTACACCAATACAGTGCTTTTACAAGATATGACAATTCTCATACGTGAGTATATTTATTTTCAGGTGCATGCATCATCTGTTCTTAATTTGCTGCAGTCCGACATAAAAGCTGCCTTAAAATCTGCATTTGGCACTTTGGATGGTCCATTGTCTGTCACTGATTGGTGCAAAGGTCGTAGTCAATCTGGTGATGCTGATGGATTTTCTGCTGAATCAACTGCAAGTGTAAGCGAATGTAGAGATTCTGCGAGTACTGTAACTCTTTCTGTTGGAGAGCCAATGAGCCCATCTCAGTCCTCTGCTGGTGGATCGTCTAGCCTTAAAGGTATGCTTATACTTACAAAATAACTGAGATCCCAGACCTTCAGTTGGCCAACAGTTGGGCCATTGACACAGCTTCTATTGTGGCAGACGGAACTAGAATGGATGAGACAAGCGAAAGGAGATCAAACCAGGAAAACTGTATATCAGAGTCAGAACAACAACTGGGCTCGCGACTCAGGCCTTCATTATTTGTACTTCCATTTCCTGCTATACTTGTGGGGTATGATTGAGTGATTACACAATTTTTGGTTTTTGGTTTTTGGCATGTGCTTTCCTTTGCAACATTGAATTGCTAATTGTGCCAGATTAGTCAACCTGACAAAACTGGATATATTAGGATATATTAGTCTTTGTACCGTAAGGTATTATTGAATTATGAGATTGTCGTTAAAATTGGACAGGTGGTTTACTTTTTGGTGGGGTGGAGGGCTTTTGGGGATGCATTATAGCACAGGCCGTGACTACGTTTTTCCGTTGGTTGATGCTGCGTATCGCATGCTTTTTATATATATATTTTTTATAGAAGTATAACTAATTGAAAACACCTATGAATTAATTCCAAGAAAGCGCCCACTCTCTACATTGCCAACCATGTGCTTTGGGTAAATCTGGGCAGAGGCTAAGTTAGATTTCTAATTTCTCAGATGCTGCCCACACCACCTGCGTGGGATAAGAGTGAAATCTTAATAAGAAAGTTAAGCTTTTAAAATAGAATATTGTATCAAGTGGTACTCTGTGTTTAGATGTAGTAGTACATCCAAAATTGAGTTATTACTGGTTCTATCATTCTGTTATAATTTGTACAATAGGTGACTGATTCTCTGATTGGTTAACAGCAGCATTTAAGTGTTTAAAATGACCTTTCAGGTGCCTTAAAATATAGTAACCTGCTTTGCACCTGATGGTGCTGGCAGGCTAGCATGGCTTTTTGTTGTGTAGCTCAAAATTTTATTGTAGTTGTACGTAGAATTAGCAGTAATAGTCAATCATGTAATAGGTATCAGGACGATTGGCTCAAGACGTCAGCGGGCGCTCTACAACTGTGGGAAAAGGCTCCTTTTGAACCCTACGCTATGCAGAAACATGTAAGATTTGTGGAACCAATTGCAACAAGTATTTAGTTTAATAATTTTTTCTCTTTTACAGTCCTGTTGCTAATGAAATCTACTCGAGGTTTTCATTTATGCTTTGATCACCCAGTGATTCTATGACCTTCTTCCCCCTTTTTGTGTTACGTTCCAGATGACTTACTATGTGGTATGCCCAGACATTGATCCATTAACTGCTGCTGCTTCTGATTTTTTCCAACAACTTGGAACTGGTTAGTGTCTTGAGAAAATCATGTCATGCTTTCGTTCATATTATAGGTGGTTGTACATTTAGCTATAACAATGTTTTAGGTCGCTTTATTGTCGTTAATACTTTTTTTAAAATTTATGTTTAACTCCCCAGGTGGAGGTTGATATAGTTTTAATTACCAAATCTGGATATAAGGAAAGTATCTTTTTGTATAATGTTTTATTGTTCTTTCAGTTCAGTGCAAGTTTCATGACATAGTTCCCTCAGAATTTTATTCCAGGGGTCACCTTGATTGATAAAGGTTTATTGCACTTGATGCAAAGTTATACCTCGTTTGGGGGAGAGGAAGCTAACGAACAATCTCCTAGAGTCAAAAGGAGAATGAAAATTAGTCTGAGAAGTCATGTTTTCAATGCTGATGTTGTATTATTGATACTAAAATTTGAAAAAAAAAGTCTGTCAGGGGAAAGGGAATTGCACGAGACAAGCTTTTCAGGTCGTTTTTGCAGTGTTAATATACTTCTTCAGAGGTCTCTCTTGTATATAACAGACTACTCTCGCTAAGAAGGGTTTTGCCTACAGATACCATTTATGTTGTAGATTTCAGCAACGGATTGTAATACTTGATTATCTTCAGAATTCTGTCATTTGTGATTGTATTACCTGCATTTTAGTTTTACATGCCTGCAGAATTCTGTCATTTGTGTGCCTGTCTCTTTAGCATGCATAGCAAATTGCCGTTACATTGCATCTTATGGATTAACCACACTTGCATGGATGCTTCCGTATACTATTGTATGAGTGTGCATGGTAAAAATTTTTCCTTTGCAACCATAGTCATATGCCTCAGCTGTATGCCTCTATATGTTCAAGCACACAGATTCATGGCAGAATTGCATCTTATCCACTGTGTTTTGAGTGCGTACACAGATGTTTTGTTTCTAGATTTCTGCATAAAAGCTCTTTTATTCTTTGTTTCTTTCAGTTTACGAGACTTGCAAATTGGGAACCCATTTGCCTCAAAGTGTGGGAAAACAAATGGAGATGGACTCTGGTAAATGGTCATCTTCTGGTTTTGTTCTGCTTGATGGCCCTCAATCCATGAAGATAGAAAGCAATAGTGCATCTTTGGTGGGATCAATCAGTGATTATTTTCTATCTCTGTCCAATGGTTGGGATTTGACAAGCTTTCTGAAGTCTCTTTCAAAGGTTCTTAAAGCTTTAAAACTTGGTTCATGCTTGACCACAAACCCAAAAGAAGGAATTAGTGGTCCTTGTACGGTAAGTCGTGAGTTCTCCTTACCTGCATTTGTAATTGTAGGTTGGAATATCAAAATTCATTAACCAACATGAAAGGTTCCAATAGTATTTTGGGCAGATTACACTAACCTCCTTTGAGTTTTGGGAATACTATGCACGGTTCCCTTGTCTTTTGGAAAATGTTAGAGGCCTTCCTTGCTAAAGACGATGTGGCATTGATGATTTTAATATTCTACCTTTGTTTATAGTACATAACCTAGGAAGCACGGATATGGACAAGGGTACGATAAGGATACGGTTAATTAAAATAATATTATATATTTTTTATATAAATAATATTAATAATGAGACCAAAAAAATTATTGAGTAGTTGGTTAATATCTTACAATAATTAAGTAATGAGATAATATTAGAATGAGTTTTTTGGGTTTAACACCAAAGTGGGCTGTGGATTAGCAAATACTAAATAAGTTATACAATACTAATAAACAACGTCTATTCAGTTGAGAGAGAGAGAGAGAGAGAAGAAAAAGAAAAAGAAAAAATTGTCCAGCTAGGGCACCGATATAGAAGTTGCCGGAGAGGAGAAGCAGCTGGAGATAGGAAGAAGAAAGAAATAAGGAAGAAGGAAAGAAGCAGATCCGAAGCTATGGTGTGTCCCTTCGCCTCTTCTCTCTCTGTCGACGATCTGTTGTTTCTTTTTCCCAGCCCCTTATTCTCTTACGAAATGTCCCTTCACCTCTTCTCTCTCTGTCGACGATCTGCTTCTTCTTCTTTCTTTTTTCTCTTTTTTCCTAGCCCCTAATTCCCGTATCCCACCCATATCTTTCCCGTATCTCTCCTACATCCGAATTTTTTTTTTATTTTCTATTCAGGACACTTGTAGAAGTGTTAGACATGTGTCCAACATTACCATGTCGACCATCGACGGAGTATCCGTGTTTCCTAGTATATAACTCTTTGTGAAAAGTGAAAATATTCTTTTGTCCTTTCTATCCTAAAATACATCTATATAATAAAGTAGAATGAGTTTTGAATTTTAGAGACAACGCGACTGAGATCGTTTCGGGACAAATTAAAGTATCATCCGAATAAATAATTTGTATTAAAATGAGGATTTATTTGGGTTTGATAGGTTGTAGATTTACTTAGACATGTTAAATAGGTCGGGTTCGTCTTGTTGATTGTTTTATGGGGGTTATCACAACCCAATTGTGACCCCTGTACTAAACATGTTGGTAGTGGGTCGTGTCAACCAGAATACAATTTGTTTATTAAGTGTTACACTGGTCATGCTCTGATTATTAGTGTTATAAGCGAATGGTATTCGTCTGAGGTCATTTTGACATGATTAACTAGATAGTTTGTGTTAGGGTAGAGAGATTTTTGACATGAATCGAGATAACACAAAACGGTTTGATTGTCGTCCATACTTTAGGCATTGCGGGTGTTCAATTTTTTTGGATGAATTTTCAATTTGTTAATAATTTTTTTTTGGTTATGTAGTGTCTTGGGCAATTACTAGTACATTTATATTGTATAGACTTTACATGACTGGAAATGGAATTGCCATGGACACCAACCACCACCTCCTCCATCATGACCTTCTTGACATAACCACTAGTCAACCATCTTGTCTCGTCTCACTCTCTCTGCCTATCTATAGCTCTTTGCAAGCGTCTCAATCTCTATCAACCACATCACCACGATTGCCCACAGCTCCCTCCCTTACACACCCATATGCTCACCGTCATCACATTCCATTTTAAATTTAATTCATAATTAAATTAATAATTAAGAAATATCGTAAAAAAATAGAGAAACTTCTATTTTCAAGGTCAGGTTAATAAAGTCATGAAACATTTCGATTTATTTATCTCTTATTTTTTATCTAATGGATTTACTTGGACCAATACATGATTTTCTTTTAGTCTTTCTTGGATCGGGTCTTATATTAGGAGGTTTAGGAGCAGTATTACTTCCCCATCCAATTTATTCTGTCTTTTCATTGGGACTGGTTCTTGTTTGTATATCTTTATTCTATATTCTATCGAACTCTCATTTTGTAGCTGCTGTGCAACTCCTTATTTATGTAGGTGCTATAAATGTTTTAATCATTTTTGTTGTAATGTTCATGAACGGTTCAAAATATTACAAAGATTTTCATCTTTCCCAATGTTTTCACGCGTGCTTGTAATAATGATCATCACCATTCCAAGTTTTCACTAACCCAATTACCCTTGAATTTTCTCTCATTAAAATCATCTCAGCTAGAGGGATCTCAATTATAATGGTCTTTGTAAACAATGTTCATAGATGAAATCAAATTAAAAACATGCTTGAAATTTGTAGAAAATCCAAATCAATTGTGCTTATCAAAATTGCGGGAAACACTTTGCACTCTACTCAGTTTCACCAACATTGATATAGTTGTGGTGGAGTCTCCCATGATGTTGGTAGACTAGGGTGTAGCATTGGCGGGGTAGGGTGTTGTGTTCTAGAATGGGGCCGTAAGTGATGCTTGTTTGGTGGATGACTAGAGGTGGTTTTGTGCAATGGTTGCAACCAAAGGTCGTGGAGGGGTGGCAGTGAGGTGGTTTTTCCATAATATATTTTTCTGTGTAGAAATGTGGAATATGCTTTGCAAATCTTTTTCTCTGAATTCGCTGAATGAGTTCTCACTAAGTTGACACAAATTTACTGTTGCATTGGACTAATGGGTGATGATTGAATTGTCTAATGAGGGTTAGCATTATTAGTATACTGTAAAGTGATGTCAGATTTTTAGTCATCCTCATTCAGTGACATTGAACCGAAGGAGAGGAATATATTACGAAGTCCAAAACTCAAGAAAAGTTTGTCATTTTCCAAAATGCAAGAACCGCGAGGGAAGTAATTGTAGTTGATCTCCAAGTATTGTCATATGTCTCATCTTGATTTTTCCTTGTTTTCTATGTTGTTAATTTCTTTTACTAGGAGCTTTAAGTTCAATTTGCTTTCTCTTCTTTTTCGTTATTTTCCTCAATAATATGCTTTTTATATCTATTTTAATTGATACGATGCATATATGTTCAATGTTTTTCAAGTTTTGCAAGCTACATCTTCTTTTTTTCCCGCAAGCACAACCATATCTTATTTGATAACAATTTTTTTGCGGGTTTTACCTCTTTTTTTTTTTGAAACTGTAGTACGTTCATGATAGGCTTACTAATCAAATAAATGTTTGCACATTCTTGGGAGGGGTATTTGTGTTACAACACAGATTTTAGGGGACTGTTATGTCATTAGTGGAGTACTGCGGCATCTTTGTGTAATTAGTCAAGTGCTGTTTCTGCTATAATGCGGTTACTTAGGGCCTTTTTGTGCACTTAGTGGATACCTAGACACCAAGAACTACTTTACTACTTTCTCCTTAATTGACAATATAAAATCTGTAAATCAGTAAAATATAAATCGGAAATGTTGACAGAGAGCTTGTTGCTAAGCCTGTCAATGATATTCCATGAATTCAAATTGGATATTCTAATATCCGATCTGCTTGTGATCCATTGTGAATTATATATATGATAAGTTGTAAGTTGGTAAAATTCAATTCCATACTCGGATTGGATTGTGTTTTCACTTTTTAAGGATTCAGATAGGGATAGTAAAAATGAAATTTCAAATCTAGTCTGTATTGGGATTCAGCTTTGTGAAACTTTGATCTGTCCTTATTAATTGACAAGCCTACGTATTGCACACTCGCATCATTTCTTTGCTCCATTTGAAAAAAATTCTGGAATCATATTGGCCTTCTTTAAATGGTATGGATTGAGGAAAACATAAATTTCTAGGAATGTGGAAAAAGATTTTTTCCAGTGATTGCACTAGATAAAATTTCACAAAGGAAAAGAAGAAAAAAATATGCAATGAAAGAAGAATAGGAAAGTAGTAAGAATGCCAAGAATTCAGTTTTTCAGCTAGCGGATAAAGTGATTACAAGGGTGCTCAACTTCGTTATTAAACTTTTATCCTAGCTACTTGGGGTCGGCTCTTTTATTTTTTTTCCCACCATTCTGTTCTGCGTAGTACCATGCTCTTGGCCAAATGTTGGTTATTATTTCTTTCTTTATTGTCTTTATTTACATTAATTTAGGTTTTCCTATACCTATAGTGTTACCATCTGTAGGGATCACATTACTCTTTTTACAGGTACACTCAAAAGCCTTCTTTCACATGCCAAAACTACCTTAGTATATTTTCTCTCAATTTATCTCAGTAATAAAGTTACTCGAATTGCATCGAGACTTTTTAAGTAAAACAGTCATGAGGAGACATTAAAAAAAAAAGGACACGAAATCTTCATAGCTGATCCCTGTGAGCTCAAATACTTTTCATTGTGCTCTGCAACATAAATTATAAATATAATACAGGTAGATCTGGCAATCGGCTGTAGTGGGATTATTCTGGATAGGGTGCTATTAGACATGCATATATTATTCAAGAGAAGTCCTTCCTGATTTTACACAACATATGTGGTTGATTCTTGTTATCAGGTAATCTATGTGGTGTGCCCTTTCCCTGAGCCTATGGCAGTTCTACAGACTGTTGTTGAATCATCTATTGCTGTTGGATCTGTCATTCTTTCGTCAGATAAAGAAAGGAGATCTACAATGCATTATCAAGTTGGGAAGGCATTAAGCTGCTCGACAGCTGTGGATGAAGCATATGTATCAAATGTTCTAACACTTTCAGGGTTCAGTATACCTAAATTGGTGTTGCAGATTGTTACGGTTGATACCATTTTCAGGGTTACAACTCCAGCTCTTAGTGAACTTGTCATACTTAAGGAGATTGCTTTCACCATTTACAATAAAGCTCGAAGAATTTCACGAGGATCCTATAGTGATGTGGTTCCATCATCGTCCCTATCTAATAGATCTTCTTCAGTCATGATGCAAATGTCTTCTCCAATTCCAGGGATGTGGAAGGATTGTGTTGCTTCTCGTATTGGGGGACCTGCCCTTCCCAGAGAGGGTGACTATGATGCTAGCTTGAGGGCTGGTGCTTGGGATAATTCTTGGCAAATGTCAAGGACTGGAGGACTAGGACACAACCCAAATCTTCTTCCAGATGAAATTCGTTTCATGTTTGAACCCCTTTTTATTCTTGCGGAACCTGGTTCCCTAGAGCGTGGAGTTTCACCTCCTGTTTTTGGGAATCTAGCATCTGAATCTTCAAAGCTGTTGTTGGATGATGGTACTAGTGGCAGCTTTATGCAGAGTTCAATTACATCAGGAAGTGTAGATAGTGGAACAAGCTTTCATTTTGAGGGATCGGAGTCGGATGGTTTTGGATCTGGCCACCAAAAGACACTTGCAAGCCTACATTGTTGCTATGGTTGGACTGAAGATTGGCGTTGGCTAGTATGCATTTGGACAGATTCGCGGGGAGAATTGCTGGACAGCTCTGTATTCCCTTTCGGTGGTATTAGTAGTAGGCAAGATACGAAGGGTCTCCAATCACTTTTTGTCCAAATTCTGCAACAAGGGTGTCAGGTTCTTCAGGCTTGTTCTCCTGATACTGGCATTGCCAAGCCTAGAGATTTTGTGATCACACGCATTGGATGCTTCTTTGAGCTTGAGTGTCAGGGTATATCATTTTCTTCCATGACCTTTCATTATGATTCATTCTTTTTGTTATCTTATATTGTTGAGTTTTAGAAAATTCAGAAAACTGCTAATTGCTTTCTCGTGTTGAGTGGTTTTCTATGTCAAATGTTTGATGATTAAGGGTGGCTGCTTGATTTGTTTGTTGTGACTGCTGCAATACTTTGATCAAATCACCCTTGATCTTTTTCTACAAGTAATGAATATCCATGAAAATTCATTCCATTTGCACGAAATATGTTAGGAGAAATAAGTTGCAGTTTGAGGGGCCACGGTGATTGTCTGATATGAAGTTTTACAGCATGCTACAATATATTGCTCTTGAAACCTGCTGGTGACTAGGAGTTGATAGAGATTATGGAGCCACTTATAATTATCATTCTGTTGGCCTAAGAATTTAACGGCAATATTAAATGATGCTATAGATTGTAGTTTCTCTTTGTATTTCCTCATCACGGGGGTATTTTTCTTGTATTTTCTAACTCAATGCCAATATGTTTGTAAACAGAATGGCAGAAAGCTCTCTATTCTATTGGGGGTTCTGAGGTGAAAAAGTGGCCTCTGCAGCTACGAAGAGCTGTGCCCGATGGGATGCCTGCTAGCAACAGTGGAACTTCATTGCAGCAACAAGAGATGAGTTTAGTACAAGAGAGAACCCTACCTTCTTCACCTGGTCATTTGTACAGTCCTCACTCAAAGGCTTCTGCTTTCATGAAAGGTGGTTTGGGACAAGCCTCTGGTAGAAAACAGATAATGGGTGGTCAGACTATGGTGGACACCTCTAGGGGTTTACTTCAATGGGTGCAAAGCATCACTTTCATCTCCGTTTCAGTTGATCATTCTTTACACCTAGTTTGTCATGCAGATTCAACATCTCCTGGTACCTACTTTTCTTGTTTTACTTTCTCATTCCTCATCCATTCTCCCATCAAATTCATTCCATGTCCTGGTTTAGGGTTACAACACACTGCATTTTTGTTTAACTAATTTTTATAGGCAGCACATGTCGTTGAAAACATGAAGGGCCACAAACATAATGTTTTTTTTAATGTTTCATCCTATTATTGAAGCTTTTTTTGTGCCCTAAATGTTAATTGGATGCTATTTCTCGCGTACAAATGTGCCAAAGTTTCTCAATGGTGGTAATCAAATTGAATTAAGACTAAATCTATGCAGATATACACACGTGTAGTCGTTGGAATTTATTATTGGATTGCCATCCAAATTCATTCCTGTTAGCAGGTTCGCTAATCCTAGATATATATTGGATTTAGTTTTGTTTATTCAATCCAGATAGTCATAGCATAAGCATTCACCATAGGCACAAAGTAACAATTAGCGTTATCGGATGGAAAAGAGGGAGGAAAACAATGCCCAAATGTTGGTCTTATTATTACCTTTTATGTGTGCAATAACTATCCAGACATTTGTTACTAGCTGTCCTTTGGAAATGTGATGGGAGAGAGGAAAAAGAGAGAAGAAAAGGGGGGGGGGGGGTAGGTAGGCTTAGGGGTAAAAAAAAAAAAAGTTCTAGTTACAAGTGAAAGGCTTATATATTGATTTACTGGGACCTAGTGCTAAAATTTTGTGGTTTTAATCATGATACTTGTTGGTATGCATGTTTGGCATTACGGGACATTATTCTTCATTCCGTGTTGAATTGGGACTTTGGGCGCATGTAGACACCTGTATTATCCTCAAGGATCAAAATATCGTTTCGCCGTATTATTTCGGTCACATAGGAAACGGAAAACGTTTCGACGTATTTCAGAAACGTTTCGACGTATTTCAGAAACGTTTCGATCCATTTCAGAAATTTAATGAAAAAAATAAAAAATTTAAGAATTATTTTTCTAAAACATTGATGAAAATATATCAAAATATCTTGAAACATTCTAAAACAATTGTGCAAATGCATTGAAATATTGTAATATATTTAAAAACATTATGGAATACCTCCAAATATCAGAATTTCGATTTCATCACTGTTTCGTTTTGGTCTTTTTGGAAATGGAAATGTTTTGGATGTTTCAACCGTTTTGAAACGATATTTTAATCTTTGATTATCCTAAACCATACATGGTGTATTGTTTTTCTTTAGTTTGAAAAGTGTCATACATTGAAAAATCTGCGCTATTTTAAATCTCTAAATAATTGACCAATGACCACAACTGTTGGCATATGTTCTTACCTGAAACGGTCCTAGTTTCTCAAAATCTCTTCAGCAAATGAATTGGTTAGAACCCCGGGTGGTCGTGGGAGGGTTTTTTTTTCTTTAAAGTGTTTGCTCAATGACTCCTACAATTATGAAGGACTCAGTTTAATTTATTGTTTTTCATTTTACAAAGATCCCTGATCAATATTTGTCAAAAGGTTGCCCCCAAACAAACTAGGCACTAATTCTAGGAGCTGTTATTGATTTCTTCCTCATTTCACTACATGTAATGATTTGTTTAATCAATCTAGAAAATTTCAAGGATGCAACTTTGTTAGGAGAACAAAAAGCCTAGTGATCCAAGGCCTAATATACAAATCTGGTTCTCATACTCACCTAAAAACTTAAGTTTATAGGTGGTGAGCCTATCAATAGTATATTAGGACACTTTAACTTATTTTTCTATCTGATATGGGATTTTTACACATGCAATACTCACCAATCTCCCCCTCATGTGTGAACCACATCTGGCTTAGCTCCTTGAGTTTGATCCACAACGTTCCACAACCACCGCGTCCTACCATTCTTTTTGTAAGAATCCGCAATTCCAAGAACTAAGCTTTTACTGCTCATTATGAGTCACCCTACCAAGAGTCCTTGCGCTCGGGCTCGTGCATTGCTCTTTTTTTCAAGTTGCTTTTCGGTGACTTTAATACCAAACCAACAACCCATCACTTTTCTTTGGAGCCACCATTAATGTTGACACATTATACTACTTCGAGAGTTCACCTAGGATCGTTAGCCTTCAGTTTTGATACCATTTGTTGGTAGATTAGGGAGCCCAATTATCCAAGGCTCAATATATATGTCTGGAACCCATTCCAACCTAAAATTTTAAGCCTATAGGTGGTGAACTAATTAATAGTATATTAGGACATTTTAATTTATTTTTCTATCCGATGTGAGATTCCCGCACATATTATACCCAACAATCTTCCCCTCATGTGTGAACCACATTAGGTTTAGCTCCCCTTTGAGTCTGATTCAATAATATTTACAAGCACTGCATCTAACCATTATCGAGCTTGCTCTTCTAAGAGCCAAGTTTTTATCACTTTTTATGAGTCACCGCAGTACCACTCGACCAAGATTCTTTGCGCTCAAGCCTGTGCCCTGCACTTTTTTTTTGAGTTGAGTTTCAATGACTTTAGTACCAAGAACTCATTACATTTCTTGAGAGCCACCATTAGTATCGGCATGCTACATCGCTTCTTTGAGAGTTCACTTAGAATCACCATCAACCTGTTTTGATACATGGTTCAAAGTATTGACCGAAATCGATACAAGTTAACCGAGTGATATCCGACTTGACGGCTTTCGAGACGATACCGTTACATGATACTTATAAACTCCGAGTCTCGCACGACTTGACTAAGTCGTCCGAGTTATATTCAAATAAATTTTGAGTCGGTGAATTAATGTTACTGAATCAACCAATATGATTCCGTGAGATCGCGATATGACCTGAAATCTCTCATCATATTCAACCTTTTCTTTTAGGTTATATCGCTCGATACTATAATGTATCTTTATGACCTATGTGTCTCGGAGCTCTCCGAGTTGATGACCGATACCCTAATCTTGAACCATGCTCTAATATCATTTATTGGGAGATTGGGGAGTATGGTTCAAAGTATCAGCTGATACCGATATGATTCGGTTGCATCATATCTGACTCAGCGTCTTCTGAGTCGAAATCATTACATGTTAGTATAAATCCTGAGTCTCACACAACTTGGCCAAGTCTTCTGAGTTGTCTCCAAGTCAATCTCGAGAGGGCTTACCTCGTCTGTGTCACAACTACTGATATTTTGAGTGAGGGAAGCCAAAACATTGGTCAATAGAGAGAAAGAAGAGGAACTATAGATCAAGAAAGTCATATTAGCTACACCTGACCAGACACACCTTTTTTTGATTGACCGGACTGGCCAACTCTCAACCAAGTAATAAATTTTTTGCCAAATTATCATCACCAAATCAGTTGATACGATTTCGTGACGCTACGATATTATTTGAGTTTCTCATCATATTCAACATTTTCTTTTATGTTGTATCGCTCAATACTGCACCGCGACACCACAATTAATGTGTCTCAAAGCTCTACTAGTGGATGGTTGATAACTTGACCATGCTTAGAGTAAAAAAAGAAATTGACTTGACTTGTATAATATAGGTTGTTAGCTGATTCATGAGGGTACTTGTTCTTAGTGTTTTAATTATAGTAGTTGTTTTGTTTGCTTGAATTATGTTGAAATATTAGCTGAATCGTGGGTCGTTTTGGTACGTGGTATAGGTATGGAAATTTCGTATGCCATTTTCTTAGTTATGAGGTACGATGGTGGTATGGTTAGTTGGTACGATATTTTGAATCGCAATTGTTTTGAAATTCTTATCTAGATCGTTTTCACTGTTATACAACATTATATATTATAGAGCATTCATAAACATTAAATTAATTATCATTTATCTTGCATTTGTGTTTGATTTTCTATTATTTAAAACAATATATAATTACAAATCTATATACACTTAGTTAATCAATATGTATTTTATATTTGTATTATATGTTTCAAAGTGAATTGATTTTGAGTTAGTATTATAATTTGGGATCGTAAATTTTAGTAATCTAGATCGCAAACCCACCTTGTTTAAAATTGATGTATCTAGATCGTGGGTCGCCAGGAATTGAGTGAATTCTAGTAGCTATGTGCTAAACAACTATCATTGGTTCTTCGTTGAACATAGGGACAAAGACATTTATGCTTTAAGGTGATAAAACAATGGTGGAGGAGACACGGAGCCCACCATTGCTGGCCGTTAACATAAGGCTACATACATGTTTGGAATTGAGCTTCACTCAAAAACTTAAACGTATAGGAAGCAGGCAGTCCAATGTATATTGGTCATTTTTTAGTCACTTTCTGTTTGATTTGGCACTAAACTTCACACGTGATTCAACAATCTCTCGTATACATGATGAACCACATTGACATTAACTTACTTCTCAAGTGTGAAACACCGGTCTCGGCAAGGCCACTTGTTATTTCGTGTCATCGGTCAGCTTTTGCAACAGACATACCCTAACTACCATTCTTATAGATTCGCCGTGTTTGCACTCTATCAGGAGCCTTGCAAATGGGTCGTGCCCTTCTCCATCGATAATTGGTCATTGCATCTGTATTTCTATCAACGGTTTTGCAGTCAGTTGCTTGCACTTTGCTCTATCACAAGTCCAGGCGCAGCTGACACAATAGTTTTAACTTTTAACTCCTGGAGTTGACTTGCGTATTATTGTTGTATTTTTTCCAAGAGCCTCTGTCTATAGTTGTTAAATGCGATTTGTATCGTGAATCGGAATTCTAAATTTAAGAATTGTGAATCGTATCGAATCGTGAATCGTAAGATTCACAAAATTTGAACAAAAATAAAAAATAATACTACATAGAATATTGAATATTATTGTATTTAAAAATAATCAATTGCCATATTCACGTCGTCTAAATGGAAAGACGCTAGCGTTTTGTTTCATTTTGATCTTTTGCTTACTATTTTCAAAATCAATAACTTGAAAAAAAAATTCATTAAAAAATCATGGTTATTCAAGAATCAAAATAGTGACACCCAGTATAGATTAAGTTGCAAACATAAATGGAAAAAATACAAATAAAAAAATTAATTGGGAGAAAACATATTGCTTATATTTTGAAACAAAAAATTAGAACCTAACAAAACTACCCATGAAAGAATGAGAGTAGAAATTAACTGATAATGC